CCTGCAACTAATAAACAATTAACCATTTTTAAATACTGAATTTTATTTATCAATGGAAAGTTGTCTTTTTATAAATCGTACAAGTCTGATGTTCCTAAATCATATATATGTCAATATTGCCGCATTCGACAGCGATTCTTCACGCAGAATGAAACAATGCCATAACTCATAAACCTAAAAACCACAAAGGACATAAAACAGAACACTATTAACGTAGTGAAATCCTGGTTTTGCTCTGGAGAAAATTTTAACAACTGTTCAACAGTCATTATTTGGTGCAGGTTCTATACCAAGTATGTGACACATAAGGGGATATATATATATATTGACATTTTCAAATGGCTCAGAGACATACTTCTCCTTGAATAGAGGTCCATGTGCAAGGAAAAAGGGATGCATGTCAGCATATTTGTTACTGTAGCCATGGTTACCAAGAACATCCATCTGTGACATGTTTTGTGTGATGACCCATTGATCGTCAGCTGCGATAAAAATTGGCATCACACGTTGATTATGCTTGTAATGAAATAGACGATATTCGTATTCCCCGACGGCCCTGGGACGAGAGACTTCATAGCATGATTGCGAGGCTAAAGCGGGGAACTTTTTGGCAAAAACACAAACAAACATTAGTTAGTCGCGGCTGAATCGCTGCAAAACGATAGAAATCAGCAAAAAACTGCAAGATTTAAAAGCTGATACCTTACGGGTAAGCTAAAGGGATATCTGTTTCAAAAAACAAAACTGTGGGAAGAGCTGGTGGAAAAAGAAGAAACAAGAAGTAATCAAGAAAATGCTTTACTGTGTCAAAATGTCAATATACGAATCCTTTTTATATAATTTTCTTCTTATTATTATTCTTTTTCTCTTGTGTGTATCTGTAGTGTGGAGCTTAAACTGCTCAGTATTATCGTCTGTACCAAACTCTGTGTTCAACTGCGTGCACGGTTTTGTACTTTCGCACAGTTGTTATCGAAGATAATGTAACTTAAATTTAAAAATAAACTTTACCTAGTCATCTTTGTTCAAACCGGTTTAACTTCCTGAAAATGCACATGGACTGTGTGCAGAACGCTAAGCCCAGTCCTGATAAGTAATTATCCACTGAATGAGTCGTTTGGTTTACTTCAAAAACACATTCAAGATTTTGTATCGGCTCTGTTAGAAAATTTCAACCGCAAAGTAAGTGTGATATCGCAGGCTTTCGATAATTACGTCCATTTCAATAAACGATATTCTTCAAAAAGTTTAAAGGACACTGAAAATTACAATTAAAATGGCTTCGGGGATTTTGGGAACATGTCTGTTTATATTAGATTATAAACTCGCTCACCAAGCACTCTTCTCATCAATATAATTATGATTAGGATCGCTGTTTTTCTTAGTAATAATGAGCAGATCTTCCTTTTGTTGTTTGAAATAATGACCTCTCAAGTATGTAAGCCCTTCGGAAGTTTACAATGTTAAAAATTTTCCTTAAATTCGGCAAACTCAGCCGCAGTTTTCTCATATTTGTTTGTCCTCTTGGCGAGAAGGTCCTCGCATGAGCCTCGCATTCATGATCAAGGCCTACTCGTCCCAGGACTGTCGGAGAATACGAATACTGTCTATTCTTCAGGAATATCGTGTTTCAGATATGCATGAAGGTGTGGAATTTCTTTGAGCTTTTGGTATGTTTTGTTTAACATCCCCTCCTTGGGTAGAATATGAAAGAAAGGCTCAAATACATGGTCTGCTCTATTGGGATTTAGAATAAGAGAATACCAAGTTGGACTGAGGTACATATTCATCCAGAACAATAACTCGAGAACTGTTCACTGCAACCATGCCATGATCACTTGTGATGATCAAATTCACCTTCAAGACAAAAATGATTATTAGCACTTTGAAATCAATCTATCTATCATTTTAATGTTAAAGGAGCTATATCATGGTCATTTTTAGGGCGGTCAATATAAAACACGGACTGCGGACTGCGCACTACGGACTGCGGACTGGGAATAAAATACGGACTAGGTATAAAACGCGGACCGGAAAATATGGACTGGGTATAAAACACGGACTAGGTATAAAACGCAGACTGCAGACCGCGGACTGGGTATAAAATAGAAATTCTTGGTGGAGGTTCTCTGAATCAAGAGCCTGACAAAAATGCTATTTTCTACACCCATTTTAGACATGGTCTCGGTCTCTAACAATCATGAAAGGGGTCAGGACCCGGGGTTACTCTCTTATGTAAGCCATATAGGTATTTGCCGCCCTAAAGGGTAGGGTTTATGGGCCGTTTTGGTGGTCTGAAAACACTTTGAGTATTTTGGTTTGGAATCGGGTATGGTTTTCGAGGAAACTACGGGAGCGTACATGTACGAATGTATTTATCGTTTTCAATTCTAAATGAATAAGAACGAAATGGAAATATGCGAATTTGAAATGCATTTGAAGAATTTTTTGTTTGCGCTCAAGAGAGAATGATCTACTGTTACGCTCTAATCTATAATATCAGGAGCCCATGATGATATAATCTCTGCCTAATCAGGCCTAGCCTGTTCCAGGCTTCGAGATAATTGGGTCCGCTGAGTGGAGAAAGCGCGAAAATAAAACGGGAGGAAACTGGGTAGTCTCCTCTTTATCTGAGAGCCTGGAACAGGCTAAATTAGCCAGGTCTGGAAATGGGTATGGATTTTAGAGATCAGGTCTGAAAACGGGTGTGGAAAACCGGACATTTTTTATTCTGAAACAGGGTGAGGATTTAGAGAACCAGGGGGCATAATCCCACCAAAAAATTCCTAGGAGTACCCCCTTCCGGGGTTCTGGAGCAGGGTGTAAATCATCTCATCATAATCATAGCGTAGAATATAACGTTGGGTTGGATGATTCATTTCGGATATTATTCACGTATAGGTGAGTAATCCCTCCCCCCTAAATACTGCTTTTTTACCTCGTGGAATGCCCCTATATTGACCTTCTCGTCCGAGTTCTTCATTTCCTCANGGGGGGGGGGGGGGAGAGGAATTTTCGAGCCGCAGGAATTTTTTTTCGTTATTAAATTCCTTGTATGAATGTTTTTTAGGCCATAGCATGAATATTTTTTAGGATTAATTGGCTTGCATGATTTTTTTTTCATTTAATTTTCTCTTGCGCGAATATCTTTTTTTGTACTTCGCCCGCCCCCCCCCTCCCCATAAGTTTTCTAATGGTCCGTCCCTAACCTTCCTTGTCCGTGCAGCATGCTTTCCTTCTCAACATGAGGAGAATATAGACTGCGTGACCGGCTTACGGAATGTTTTTGTGTAAGGCAAGGAGCTGGAACTACCGTTTTATGCAAGCCCGCTTTCCGTTTCTCTCAGTTTTACCTTTCTAAGGCTGTTTTTATATACATAGTACGCAGTCCGCGTTTTATACCTAGTCCGTGTTTTATACTCAGTCCGTAGTCTGCATTTTATACCTAGTTCATGTTTTATACCCGGTCCACAGTCCGTGGTCCGCAGTCCGCAGTCCGCAGTCCGCAGTCCGTGTTTTATACTGACCGATTTTGAAACCCAAATTTCGCTCCGTAGATAAGCCTCTCAAAAAGGGCCTTTCAAAAATATAACTCCCGGGGCTTATTTTCAGAATTTTACAGTAATTCCTTTCAAATGTTTTTGGTCCTCTCAACCGTTAGTTGTGGAGAGCTGTTCTCCCCTTTCCTCCTGTAATAGATTCCATCTTGCAGGAGTACTAAAGCAATGTTCTTGATTGCTCTGATTTCAGGGTCAGTTATAAGTAGATTCCCCTCCATGTCCTTCAGCTGGTCTACCTGGCCTGTAACCTATTTACTTGCATGTTTATTTTAGCATTATATGGCAAAGAAGGTCTTCAAGAGATGCACAGTGCATGAATTGATGGTCTAAGCCAATACTATACTAACAGGGGAGGGGACATTTGTGTAAGCGATGTTAAGAGTATTACTTGCCCCACGCTAGCGGTGCACGGCCAGAAAGATCCCTTGGTTCCAGATTTTCATCCTGAGTTTTTACATGCTAATATCAGAGGATCTAAGCTTCATCTAATGCCAGAAGGAAGGCATAATATCCACCTTCGCTATGCTGATGAATTCAACTCACTTGTCAGGAACGTTTTGGCAGGAAAATTAGACTAATGAACACAGAGGTTTGACTTTTTTTTAGCGGCATTTTTCTAAACAAACACTGCAAACAGTTACTTGTAAATCCTGTTAAAACTTCTGCAGAAGTCAAAGCAAAACGAAGAGTGTTTTCCTATAATGTAGTAACGTTCCTATAACTTTGCCTTGAGATTAACATGTGTTTGTCAAAAAAGAGAGGCTTGTTTCAGTAGTATGGTATTAGCAACATGAAATTACCAAGATTGATCCATGGAGTTAACCTTCCTCTAGGGGGAGCTAAGATTACCGCGAACTGATCACAGTTTAGATCACGTGACATCGTAACATGTTTTTGTTCATAGCTTGTCACTGGTGTCTGCAAGTATTCTCATTCAAGTCTTTGAAAGCGTTTGCGTTGCTTTGGCAATTCTTTTGTAATCCCTATCAAGTTATAAGGAATATACTGCTACCTGTGAACTAGTACTCCGTTCAAGTGCAAAAGATTCCTCCGCGAGCATTAAGTTGAGCCGCGAGACTGAAATTGCTCGCACTCTCGAGTGAGACCCTGCGCTTCTCGCAATTTCGAGTTTAAACAGAGAGTTCTTCCGCCTGCACGAAAACCATACAGGATAGGACTTCTGTTCACACATGAGAACGGTGATTTCGTCGCGATTTCTGTAACGGTGCGAAGCTGCGCCGATCTCTAAAGTTGAGCGTCACTTATCGAATAGATGTTCATACTATACCGAATAGCTTTTCTTGTCCACACGAAAAGCTGTCCTTTTATCTAAGTTTCTTGAATTACATCAAGTCTTAAAACACTCGCATGCGCCTTGGGTGTTGCACACTGCGCAGAATGATCACAGTTGTTTCTTAAATTCACACGTGACTCATGTTGCTAGGTAAAGTGAATCAGACCACTGTTATAGGTGTTTGAAACACTGGGTGTATAATCAAGTGGATCCACTCTCGTTCGAGGCTTGAAGCTGCAAATCCATCCACGAATTCTCGACACGATATCTTTAAAGGCGTCCGCATATCCTGCTCTGTATCGCCGGCTTACTAATATACAGGTGATTGGATGCACAAATGGATCAACGGTTGACAAACCAAACGCGAACAAGTCGAAGTATATACTGCGCCAATTTGCGTGATAAATGAGCATCACTCGAGCCTGGCGAAAGAAGAGAGATGTTGTCAATCATGTGATGTTTTAGTCTCCCTCTTTGCCGTTTTTTAGATGTCACGCAACACTCCGTGACATCCAAAAAACGGCTGCGAGGGAGACTAGTGATGTTAGTGAGCTTAATCAACTCAACGACGACGGCATCGACAACAACGGCAAAAAACAATAGGTTTAGATAAGCAAAACAACAACTCTGCATGTTTTTCTAATAATATTCTTTTTTTGAATGTTAGATACAGTCCTTTAGAATTCAATCCCAGAATAATTCACCAACATTTGAATGACGTGGAATAAGAGCAGTTATTTTAGAAACATTGTGAATTCATTTTCTAAGTGACGTTTTCACTATTGTCGTCGTTGCTTAGCCCCTTTGTAAAAAACAAGGGAAAGTGTACCACGTCTCTTTGGGGCCTACCCACATTTACCCAGACTTAAGTGCGCGCCACGCTGGCTTTTCGCGACAAGAGCGATGATATGTCAGGGACAAAGGCACATGGTTTTTGCTTTTATCTCTTACGCTCATTTCTGAAAAGGCCCCATTTTGCAGTCGTTCTCCTAGACTACACGAGATAGGAGTGGAGACTTTATTGAGAGGGTAACATTTGACAGTTATAATTTGAACTTACAAAATTGTGGCCCTCTTTTAACACAAAATCAATGAAATATTAATGTCATTCTTATTGTTATGATAAAAAGATAGAAATGATATGACTTATTGTTACGACAAGTCTAAGTTTCAACTTGGTTTGAGAAGCCCTTTAAGGAAATGCCAGTCATTTTAGGGAGTTCCTTTGCTTGTTTGCCTGTGCATTAAAGGGGCTGTGTCATGGTAGTCCATTTCATTTTGTTTAATTTTGCCAATTACTCGCCCTCAATCGCTATGGAACTTAAAGTAAGGAAAAAAATTACAGGTAAATGACAAAATCAGAGATCCTAGACAAACAAATATGTCTCCTGAACATTATTTTTGAAGTTGCAAGCAGCAGGCTATGTTAGTGTCAGACTATACCGGATAGTTTTTCATGCCGACACGCCAGTCTATCCGGTATAGTATAAACAGCAACGGCACTGAACTGGAAAAAGTCGTTCACGCACTTCGAACTTTGTACCGGATCGAGCGGTTGGCCGAGAGGGCTTGGTGACCTAAATCCCAGTCCTCACTCCTGGCATAGCCTCCACCCAGATTTTCCCGGCCTGCTTTCAATCTTCGTTTAAAGATTAACTTATACAAAGTGTTTTTTCTTACCAAAGTTGGAACCCAAGCCAAGCTATAGGATAGAGCCATAATTCCGGTTAGGTTAGAGAGTATTATGGCCTCGCGATCACCTGCAACCTGTGTAAGAACCCCAGTTCCAACGGACAAATTCATTTTCTTCAAAGCTTTAAGCACTGCAACGTTCATTACAAGCATAAGTAGAATGGACAGCGAGAAGTTGCAAATGAAGGCGTGTACAACGATTACTTCGCCATTGCTCTTGGAGTTAAGCGAGTACAAGCATACTGCTATGGGATGTTTTGTCAGTTCGACGCTCTTTAACAAGAGAGGCAGGATAGCTAGTGCTGCAGAATGTACAAAAATATACCCAACCGCTATCCTAATTTTTCGAAGGTTTATAAGTTGTTGGTAGTAAAACGGCACGCACATGGCTATAAATCGTTCGGCAGACATGACGAGTGTTACCATGACCATCAGAACAGCAAACAAAAAGTGGCCAATGAACAGCCGAGACTTTCCGCCGGCCACTCACCAGCCAAATGGGCAACCGCTGTCCAGGTGTAGGCGGTAAGAGGGAGAAAAATTCCCATGACCGCTTGCAGACCCATAAGGAAGTTATTGTATTGCTTTCGAGAGAATGTCGATTTCTTGTAAATAAGAAGGTAGTAAGCTGCGACCAGGTTAACCAGGGCAGTTACAAGTGTATTCAGAATTGTAGCGACTCCTAAAAAAAGATTTTGCTTGACTTCGTAGGATGCCATGAGTCGCAAATCGGCGACGTTGGATTAAGAGGGTGAACTGTGTTTTGTTTGTCAATCATGAAACTGAAGTATAGTCTTTGTAAAGTAGACTGTCGTTCGATGTGAAGTTCTTTGTTTTGGACGGCTAATCCCTGTAATGAATAAACTGAAATGTTAGTGATTTCACAACTGAAAATTGTTAAAATGATCAATTCATCAACTAAATCACATCGGTATGAGGAACATTTGTGGTACACCAGACTTACAGCCACTTTATTTCGAGGGATTATCGGGTCACGTGTTACTAAATGGAACGTATTTTATACAACACTTGTTTCCTGCATGATGGGCGTTATTTGACGTTTAACGAAAATGCTTGGCTCTCACTATGATTTCGGAGGTGAGTTTCATATACCTACTGCTACCTTGCGTTGTAAAAAACATCGAGGGCTTAAAAAATAACTTTAAATGCTTTCATTACCCTTTTGCTTGTCATAAAAGTAACTTTGCTTAAAAAGCTGTTCATTATCCCTGTGCGCAAAAACATCGAGAGATCATAATAAACTGAGTGTTCAGCCAAAAAAATATATCTCTTAAAATTTTTAATCCTCCGTATTAAGAGAGGAGCCTCGTAATAATCATCATTTCTATTTGAAATCAAAAGTATTCGGCAATTAATTTTTCTCTGTAAGAATTTATACACATTCAGTTACAGAGGCTTTAGACTGCGACCAGAAAGCTAAGAATCGCAAAAAAACAACAACAACAACAAAACAAATGAGAGCAATCACAAAATTATACCTCGCGAAATACAAGAGCACTAGCGATCCGCAAAATCAGTTTAAAAAAACGCAAAAATTAGGCGTCACACGTTACCTTTCAAAAAGGTGTTTTTCTTTCTTTCTTTTTTTTTTTTTTGGAAAACAGCATTTTTTACCAGAATAATTTGACTAAACTGCCAAAAAAAATTATCCTTTAAAATGGACGTAAGCTTACATTGTAGACTTTGTTTTTGGTTTCAATGTCTAATGTCTACTTGCACGTGGCCTCTTCAATATGTCAAAGCCATAATTTATTTGACATATTTTATGATCTAAACTGCTTTCAAATACTTCAATGAAAGAAAAGAAATCAGTCTGAAACGAATTAAAGGTTTTTGGAATAGTACAAGTAAATATTCCTGACGTGAACAACGATTGCTTTTTATTTTTTGACGTCACAGTTTCCGCGTATTCCATTACTATCACTAGAGATAATGGACACAAGACATTAATGTGTATGGGGCTCTTCTAATGTAAAAGTAAGTTGTTGTGACGCGATTTATTTAGTTATACTTTGGCCTCAATTCGCAGCTGTAGTCGGAAGTTTGAATGATTTTACCAACAATAAATCAGTACCTCTCTTGTACATTACTTCCAATGACGGCAGTAAAATCAATATTCACTTCCTTTAAGATTAAATTTTTTGGCTGTTCCTGAATAATCTTTTTGCTGAAGCCGTGTTTTTGGAAGTTCAGTTTCCAAATAAGAGCCGTATGGGTGTTTCCGACGAAATCGAAGTCGCGACGATCGTGACGATATTAGAGGTTAATCAACTTTCACACTAAACGTTAGTCGGAAAATAAGAGCAAAGAAACCTGGCAAAAAGTGTGCTGCTCGTTCAGAGTTTTTGTCTTTGCTTGTTTTCGTCGTCATTCTAGTTGCGCTGAGCTCGCTGGTAGCGTCACCACCAAGTTATCGCTTTTTACCACGCAAAACAATATTCTTGATATGTGACGATTTCAGTCGCCTGAAAAACCGACGCTTTGATGGAACATTCACGACGAAATCGACCTCCTCAGGTACCCACACAGAGAATGAAAATGTCTCAGAACTTCTCTTATTTATGTTAGCCAAAGATATAAGAAAATACATTATTTGTATTTCGCGTTTTAGACGGATGATGACGGATGATGTATTAAACGAGCATAAACATAACCTTTAGACGCTTTCCGCCGTAAACTTGTATAAGTATAGGTGTCCTATGAACAAGGCTTACAGGGTCTTACAGGGCAAAAATTCAAAATGTTTCACCATAGTATTTACATAGAGGATCATTAATATTTAGTTCTTACATTGGAGTAGTCTGATGCTCGTCCTTCTCCACTGCCGATGACTTGAAAGGCAGGTTTCAACCCTGGCTTTAGCGGGCCTTTGATGAAAAAAAAAAAAATGTTTTGGCTTCTTTGTATGACAAGGATAGTGCAATTAGATAGTTCTGTATATCAGAGTGCTAGCCAAACTGCGGTCTGTTATTACAAAATTCCTGTTCACAAAGAAACTTTAAAAATCTCCTTTAAACCCTTCCTTTCCGCCTTAGGCGTTGTAAGTAAATGGTTCCACTCTGAATTTATCCATCACTATACGATCGATTGAACATATAAGTACACTGCGTCACGTGGATGATCCTGGACAGTGCAATTCACCAGGGCATTTGTTTTTGTCAAAAATACTAATCATGGCAAGCAATTTTGTAATGAAAACCGGATACGTATTTTATTAACATCAAACTCATTGAACAGATCGGTATTTAATGGGCCAAAGCTGCTCAACTGTTTTACATACTGATTGTCAAGCTGATTCACAAACTGAAGTACGTTATTTACATCATTCTTTTACGTGATGAAAGCAGACGGTAATATTCAATTGTTCAATTTGTCTTGGTTGTGTTTTCAATTTTGCGATAGTTCTTTTCCATTTTATTTTAACCTTCAACGACTATCCATGTCAATAACACATTTTGCCTAAGTTGGGCCTGAAAATCAATCTTAAGTGGCTTGGCTGAGGTTTTTTAAAAATGTTGGAGCAACTAAAAAAATACAATTTTAAGGCCAAGAAAGAGCCAAAACAAAACAAAGTAGCAACTTCTATTTGCAACAATTAGGTAATATAATTGACAGGCCTGTTAATTCGCCCTGTTAATTGAAAAATGTTCAATATATATCGGTGTGATTTTGCTAAAAGGCGCCCGATAAGTTTTCTCTTGAACACGGGCATCTCCCGTGTTCAAGCCGGTGTAGCCGAAAAAAAAAAAAAGGGGGCTTGCTGTCTTGCAATATTTGAAAGAGCACTTGAGCAACACGATACAATACTGGAAACTCAATACTTAAACAATGTCTTAAAAATAAAGCTATTTTTTATTTCCCTCTGAGACACCTGGAGAATAAAATTGTCACAAAGCCACAGCCTAAACAGGCTAAGCTGCTCTGTTGCATCAGGAAGGCCAAACAGCTCATTTTTAGTTCCCTCTGAAACACCTGGAAAATTAAAATTCTCACAGAGCCACAGCCTAAAAAGGCTAAGCTGCTCTGTTGCATCAGGAAGGCCAAACTGTTTTACTTAATGCTGGACATGCACTATCATCAATGTTTCCTTTAGGATTAGTTTTGTTTGTAAAATTAAAGGCTGGTCATCAAAAATGAGACCAAAGCTCAAAAGTGCAATTACTTTATTTACTAAAAATCTCTGATTCATGTGGTTACACTCCTCATATCCTTAAAACAATTAACTTCACATATTTAATCACTGAGCTGAGCTGAACTGAACTGTTTCAGTACGATCAGGCTTAAGAAAATAGTGATCTCCATCAACATTCTCCATGAACATTACACTTTCACACAATTAGCAATTATTGAGAATTTATAAAATGATCGAATGATCGGTGTCGACCTTAACACGTTTTTGTGCTAAAATAATAATAGGTATCCTTTTGAAGACGTCATACAAAGGAACCCAAAATAGACTTACCCGGCTTCGGCTGATGTTTATAGAAAATTGAGAAGGACTGAAGAGCATCACCGTACATGCAGCTGAATCCAGTCAGCGACCCTCTAATCAACAACTACGTGAATTCCCGCGTTTCTGACTCGACAGTCAACCGCCACCGTCAGAATGTCATACGATATTGCTTCTCGAACGAACCCCTGATTTCAATTTTTCCCAATTCAGTAATCCAGGACCAAGTACCTTTTCCAGATCTTCTCCGCACGACGAAACGCTTTCTCTGACTTCTCTGGCCGCTTCCCGCTATATTTTCTAGTAGTTGGAGGGAATTTAGTCCTTCTTTGATCGCTTTAAACCCGCTTTCGTCCGCATTCAACCGGCGTGTTAAAGGATTGGGTTAAAGTTGTGGAAAAGATGAGTCGTTTTTCAACAGAATAGAAATTATTTCTATTTACTTTTGTCAGTTCTTTGAAAACTGAAGAAGTATGCGCATTTGGAACGAGATAGAATTATATAAGAGTGGTGAAAAAAGTAGAGCATTTGTAGCTAATAATTTGTACTTTTTGAAATACGGATTAGGTGGTGTGTCTCACGTTTTAGATTTATGTAACTGGCTCCCAAAAGTCAAACTCAGGTGACTGCAACCGCAGAGATGCTAATCTATTCGGAATTATAAGTAGGAAAAACACCTATTTTAAAGCCAAAACTAGAATAGGTTAATGAAATGGCAAGTCGTTCAGTAAATATGTTGCTTCCACGAAGGAAGTTTATTCCTACAAAACACCTGCGTCATTCGGGTCCATTCCCAGTTCAGTGAACATGAATGACGGGTCTTTACTAAACTGAACATGGGAATGTGACGTCTGGTCTAAAATTCTAAATCTGGCCATTCATCGTCAGTTTATTCATTTCCAAACTTTTTAATGATAACAATTTTTTGGAAAAATCATAAACGATGGCTTTTTTTAAATCATGCACAGATGGCTTTTAATAGGCAGTAAAACTGAATACCTCCGACTCTAAAAATACTCAAAACCGCCCACCCTTTTCTTGCGGTCTTTATTATGTAAGGGCGTTCACTGGATGACCAATGCTATATAACGCCGTGAATAGCTTTGAAAATTTAACCTGATGTTCTGAACTGGACTGTATCTCTACCGCAGTTGATTTACTTTCAACTAATATCAAACAAAATCTATAATCCTCTGATACGATATCAATGATTTGGCAAAGATTGCCTTCTTATCTTGAATCCATTTT